TGCACAGCGCCATGGACAATGCACTAGATAGTGTTATGGGTTTCGCACCGGTCATAATGAGGAATGAACGGCCATTTGCTCATGTCTTGCCTGTCCATGACTCCAGTGTGTGTATGTTCAATCTCACTTTGTGATCTTTGCTGATGTTTTTTTGGTCCAGATATTTGATGCTATAAAGGGCCTGCGTTCTTTTGTGTACCGCTGCTACTCTTACAAACATGGGAAGGATGAGATTCCCATGGACAGATTGTGTGGAATGCTTCGCGCTAGTCCTAATCTCGAGGTAGTTCATGTCCTTTTAGGATCTTGCTAATGCTAAATATAAATCACTACAGGTCCTGAAACTCTCCTTCAGCGTATATGGCATGAGAGGTACCGAGACATATTCAGCATCTTTAGATCCACTTTTCGAGACCGGAAAACCAGTAGTGTTTTCTTCTCTTCACACTTTCGATGTATGCGCTGTCCGAGCGTCCCCTGAAAATGCGATAGTGTTCTTTTCTGCCAACCCGTCTCTTCGTATCGTCAAGGTTTCGCACGAAGGTGGATACAATACCACTGATGATAACTTTGGTCAGAACCAGGCTGTTTTACCAGAAGGTGTATTACCGAATGTGGTTGAGTTTGACGTCGGAGGAATGGAAGGACCAGGGAAATGAAATTACAATCCCCTCAAGGATTCGGCAGCGCAAGTTTATATCTATTACATGGCTGTTATTGAATACGTCTGTGTTCTATACTTGTAGATCGAGTCCTAAATCTTCAGCAATCAGAACTGCTTATGGCTAACGCTCTTAAAATGTTCTGTGTCAAAATTTAACTATACATCATGGGTACTGTACATCGGAAGTCATTTCACTTCAAGGAAGTCCCCGACCAGAGTTCACTGCATTCGCTACCTGGCTTGTGTTGGGGCGATTGAATGCATACCTGCAGGGAGAAGTAGTGGCGTTAAGACACATCTAGAACGATTAAAGACCACTAACCTCTCATAACTATCCAGGTACAAGTCTTCTGTACTGCAGGTTCCTTTGAAATCCGGATGAGCAAAGAGCTTATTTAACCATTTGTTGAACTTTTCTCCTTCAGGAAACACAAATCCTCGGTAGTGCTTTAACACGTTCGTAGCTCGGTAAAACCCTACCAATGCAAAGTATCAGCATGCAACAATTCGAAAGTAGAGAGAGCATTCAACTTACAAGGTCCAATCATGACATCGGTCAAGCCAATATCTTCATTTTCATTCACCCAGAGACCAAGTCCAATAGCGAGAGCTTTCCTTTCCCCACTGCCGGAAGCTCCTCCAGTCTCAACAACCTCCCTTTCAGCACGTTCAAGTAATGCCACAAGACCTTTTATTGATTCATGAAACTCTTGACCTCCTTTGATTTGGGCGGCCTGATCTTGCGCCTGAAGGTATCGATAGAAGGCGGGAACAACGGAACGATTAATGTGGTCGCATTGGAGTCGAACAAGTGCCCTCGCATCTAACCGTTTCAGAGAAGAATTGAGAAGATAACCAAAGAAGTGCGATAATATACAAACATGGATTACTCGCAGGAGGTAGTAAACTACGTCCAGTATTGGTTTCCGACAAACTGTAAAGGTCAGATAAGATGTTGCGCAGAATTGGTTCTAACCTACTCATTGATGTATTCGAGTATTACCGTGCTCTCGTTCAGAGCTTTGGGAGGACTAAAATTATTCAATCTGAGTCCCGGTACGAGGCCTTTAGGCGACACTTCGAGTAGATCTTGAGGTTTCTTGTATGGATCTACTTCATCTGTCCACGAACAAAAATAAGACTCAACGGGTAATATTAAGATTGAAAATCAAGTTTACAGTACTAGTAAATCAACCGTCAAAACTGCATGAAATACATATAGAGCGCACACGTACTTTGTACGGGATCTTCAAGTGCTCAAAGGCCACCCACACTCGCTGCACGAAGGGGCAAAAGCAGCTTCCAAAGAGGGTCAAATCCTGCTCTTCAGTATGTTTGCTGACGGTCTCGAGGGCATCCCCGGTACACTCGTTGCGATACACCTTTCCAGAGTCAGTTTTGGACGTCATGGTGGAGTAAGAGAGCAAGCGCTCATACGCCGGAAATTCCGTCGGAATGATGCATCAACGGTCCGGTTGTTTAAATTTACCAATCAGTCTCGAATCTAACTTGGATATTTAGTTATTCTTACAATATTGACATGTAAATAGCTCCTTCATCACTTCTTTTCTCGTGTAACCTCAACCACCATCATGAACACGCCGAGCACATATACCGTGTCCACCCATGCCACTCCGCCCACATAAATGGAGCAGTGAGTAGGATTATGAGGTCAGAACACTATGAAATGTGAATCTCGAGACGTATATATGATTCAGGTCGTTGTCGCTGTCGTTACCCCTATCCGAGCACATATACCGTATCCACCCAGGCCACTCTGCCCACACAAATTGTGCAGCAAAGAGTAGGACATTGAGGTCGTAACACCATGGAATGTGCATCTCAGCTCGAGACGTATGTGTGAATCATGTTGCTCTCGTCGCCGTTATCCCTATGGACCACCTTTGCGCTAAACTGCATATACCATGCTTTCTATGCCCTCTCTGCCCATAAGAATGTAACCAGGAGGTCGACCACGTCGCGGCGACACTGTGAAATACACGGCGAGATGTATATATGAATCCGGCGTTGTCGACAATGTTGCCCCTTTCATGTTTTCCATTGCTTGCTGTGCCCATGGGGGCTACTTTGCCCCTTTTACATGGAACGATGAGCAGGACCTTGATGCCTGGATGCTAGGAAATACTTTACGAGGCATATATATATATTCTGGTCAGAGCAGCGACTCCGAACCGCGCTCATGTTTTCCGTCGACATTGAAGTTACTCCGGTATTGATTCTATTTATGCTCTGTGTACTCGATGTACCAGCATGTTCTTCGCGAGCGTCATGGGCACAAATTCCCTGCTTAGTCTATTGAAAACGAATATAAATTGCATGGAAAACCATCACTGATTAGCGCCGCTGGTTAGTTTTGTACCACCATCTTCGCAGTCTCACCCCTCAACTTTCAATTCTTGACCTACCTCTCTCAAATGGCTATCGGCTCCGATAAACGTACGGAAGAGGTAAAGTTAGCCCCAGGTTTGGACCGGCACATGTATACAACAACGCGCTACTGAAACTGGCAGTCACGTATGTTATATCCTCCCTCGCTGATATACACGGCATTCACGACTCGTTCAGACACAATTCAAGAATCCAGACCACAAAGACGAAATCGTCCTAAACGGTAAACGAATCTCACATGTCGAACAGGCAGACGATGAAGCTATATGGTCTACATCGCCCGAGGGTCTGCAACTCAAACTCGACGTTTTCTTCCGCCGGTGCCAACGCAACTCCATGACCATTAGTGTGAAAAAGACTAAATGGATGTTGTTCGGGCTGTTCTTGCGTACTATCCCTGTGTTCACGATAGACAATGTGCCTATTGACCTCATTGACCGCTACAAATACGTGAGTGTCCTTTTCACCTCTACAGAGCGCTACGTACTGCAGCACTCTACAAGGTAAAGCGAGAAATGTGACTCAGGCTATGTTTGGTCTAGAACCGTTGATAGGCTGCACCCCTGCCAAGGATCGCATTAACCTCTACATGGCTCGAGTTGACCCTCATCTCACGTTCGGATTTGAGGTAGTTCTGGATCTCGACCTCTCTCTTCTGAGTGAACTCGAGCACATCCAACATCTGTTTCTGCGCAGACTTCTTGGTCTGCAAAGGAGATCAATGCTAGTGATCCTCTTCTCGGAGACCGGTCTACTGCCCATCAGGTACCACAGGATTAGTCTTGCCCTGGGCTTCCTTCACTATCTCCTTGGAGTCCCACCGACTCATCTTGCAAAAACTGCGCTCGAAAACGCGTTCTCACTATCAAACCGTGGCTATGCAAATTGGATTAACGATCTGGTCAGTATACTCTATCACCTCCCAGTCCCCGTGGTGTGCTCGATAACCGAGTTGCGCGATTTTGAACGTATCAACAAGCTCATAGACGGAGTTCTCAAATCCTGTGAGATTTCCATTCAAACGTTGCTGCAAACACACACTCGCACCCACTTCCTAATGGAGTTGAGTTCAACAACCAAGACTGCCAGCGATGTAACGTACCCTTGTTGCTTTTACACGTTTCATCACTTCTTGCCACATATTGTCTGTAGAACGCCTTGTGATGCAGAAAGGTACTGTCCCCAGATTCCCCGCAACTGGAGGTTATGTCGCTTCTGCCAAACAGGAATCGAAGATGAGTGTCATGCTCTACTTACCTGTGAAGGGAGCAGTACTCTATGCCATCTTCGCCATCTTCGCCACCGCTTCCTAGAGGATATGTTTGTTAAAGTTCCATCTTTAAGGTCTACTTATGCATCCCTATCCTCCCCGGAGTTCCTGCAATCTTATTCAGGAATCATACATTAACTATACTGGCGAAGTTTATATATGATGTACTGAATGTCTTTGCAGGCAAGGAAGCCTGGATTCCTGCAGCTGAACTGTACGAGCCTAATGTATTGGGAATTAATTTATATGGGTATCTTATTCCTTGGTCTCCCTCTCCAGTTGCATTCTTAATTGAAATTGCGCCTTACACACTCTGGGTTCCCTGTGTACCTAGTGTAGACATCGCGAGAGCAAGTATAACTGCTTAATGGAACGAAGCTTACACTAGTTGCATTGGTTGCCCTCGTGCCTAGTGCAAACGTCGCGAGCCGGGTAGTCGGGACTGCCTGAAGTAGGAGCCTCGATTACCTGCCACAACGGCGGGAGCGCTTGGTGCCCGCGGCACGCATACTGGCGCTATGCGTGTAGCGCGGAACCCGGCTGTTTCTCAATGGGACCGCGCCGGTTTACCTACCTACCTACCTACCTTTGAGATCTTGCTCTTGAATTCCAAAGTACAAATTTGTGGAAAAAATAGGCTCCGCATTCACCCTATACTGGTAGCGGTGGGGTTCGAACCCACGCAAACATACGTTTATTGGGAAACACATCACGCAATTGTGTCGTGCTTAAATCCAACTCCTTAACCACTCGGACACGCTACCATGATTACCATTCGATAGGAAACGAACTCTGTACTTGTCCCATGTAAAAGTATTACTATCGCGGTCCAGTCCCCTATTTTCGGTGAATTTTGAAAGCAACAATCATAGAGGATCGACTAACAAGGGTATCGGGCCCCAAACTTGTAGTGAAATCCCCAGTCCGAAAATTGTTAGGATTAATGCTTACTATTCACCCTTATGAATATATCGTTCTTCTAATACTAGTACGAGGATGTAAATGCAGCATATTGATACAGAATTATGGTACTGGAAGCGGTGGGGAGAGAACAAGAGCAAAAAAAAAGAAAGCGCGACTCTCATGCGACGTATGCAAATGTATCCTTCGAACCATCCACTCTCTCGATGTACTCCTTCTCAAGAAGGGTTTCTATGGCCTAGAATATTATATCAGCATCTTGCACTGGCGCAAAGTCTCAACCACAAACCTTTTTAATGTCAGGAATCTTGGGTGCAAATCGATGTGAAATCTGGGAGATGACTTCTTGGATGAGGGCTTGGTTCTTCATCGTCTTTCGTGCTTTCATGATACTATAAGGAGCTTGATCAGAAAACAGTAGCTCAAGCCTCGCTCGCGGTGCTTACCGAACAATAGTAGCCTGGATAGCGTATTTACGGTCCTCGTCAACAGCCTTGAGGACATCGTTCGATTCCTGCTTGACCTCCGCCTTGATAGGCAGATTTAGGTTGACACGGATCTTCTTCGACTTGAAACCTATTAAAAAATAAGAATACGACATTCACATCCAACAGACAGTCAACAAACATACCTGGGTTCAAGTCATACTGCTCCGACTCCTCGTTGATCAAGATCTTGGCCTTTACGAGCAGCGCCAACACCTGCGTCAAGATATCCTTGCTAATTGAAGTAGCAACGAAAATCTCCTCCAAAGACATGGTGTCATTCTTGTTGTACAGTACCAGCACCGCCATCTGATACGAACTTGTCATGAGAATGTATTTTTGGTTGAGATAGTTGGTTCGGAGCTCGTTCTTGGAATAGTTCCACAGCCAGGTGAGCTTTCGTCCCAGAGTGTTTCGTCTGATAGTATTTCTGGAAACGGTCGTACGTGGAAAGGATTTCGGCGGGGATGACGAATTCGTGTGGAGGAGGATTAAGAGGCCAGAAGTTGGTTCCGAGGACCATGATACTGAAAGTGATATCCATGTCGTCGTGGTTCTGCGACATTCGTTCCTTGAACGAGTCTGTAAGATCTTTACTCAAGCTCATGTCTGCGAAAAAAAAGTCAGGAAAAAAAGCTACGAGAAAAAAGGGAGTCACGAACCAGTAAACATGCGCTGGAGTTTATTCGTGTACTCGAAACCACATGCTTCCTTGAGTTTGGAAATCATACTGGCTTCACTCTCGTCGGACGCAGAGACACCGTGGATGAGTCGCTTGGAAAGTTTGGTGGTGTAGAATGTCTGGAAGACATCTTTGTCCTCGAGATATTTGAATAGTACCATCTACGAACGCGAGTGAGTACAGTCAAGAGAAGAAAACACCAGACGTACCACTCGGTTTAGTGCACCCTCCAAATCTTCCTCCTCCGCCATCTTGTTGTTCTTTCTCAGTAACATATCAGCATGCTTGGCGATAAGTTCTGGCGACTTGGTCGAAGAAGTACCGGTAGCGGCGTTGCGGTTGACAAACTCTCTGCACGCCTTGTCCAGACTCGCCGCAAACCCAGCTTCACTCTTGAAGCTACGAGTGACCGTCTCCGAATTCTTCTTATGCACCTCAAGAAGCGCATCCACGTATACCTTGGGGTCAATACTGTCGGCGTTTCCTCCCTCGCCAATGAGCTTCGAGACGGAAGACAGACCGGCTTGTTTGACATGGGCCTCGAATCGCTTCCGCAGAGGTTCTAGACCCTCTGGAATACGCGACAGCAGGGCGTACATGCGCTGGAGATCCTCATCTTGGTCAAAGTCGAGTAGCTTCTGGAAGCTCTCCCACATCAACTCGGAGTGCTCACGAATGAGGACGTGTTCACATTTGGAGATGAGTTCTTTGCGTGTCTTGGTGTGGAGGTACCTTTCGATACGGTCCTCTTCTTCTCGCAAACGATCCTCCGCCTTTTTGAGATATTCAGAGACGGTGTTGGAAGCGAGGAAAGTTTCAGACTCTTTCTTGTAGTACTTCTCGGTAGCTTCGATAAAAGGAGTTTCAAAGTGTTCTTTGTATACATCAAGACACTCTTTGTTGGGATCGTTGTTGTCGAGACCAAGAGAGACGAAAGAAAAGACGACTTTTTTCACAAGACCCTGGTCAATTACTTCACCGTTTCGTTGCCGTTCGATGAGGCGAAGCAGAGCACCAGCTAGCTTGGAGTCCTCCTTCTGTATAGGAACGAAAAAGTGCTGCTTCCATTGAGCAAGGGCAAGCTAAGATGATAATAGGTCAGATATGACGTTTGTAAGCGCAAGCACACGACGTACAGTATAAACCTGATAGACGGTTTTCTTTCCTTCGTCTCGTTCTCTCTTTACCCAGTACCGATTTAAATATGTGAATAGCCGGTTGAGAAAGTTGGCACCAGTGGTGTACCGATCCCATTCAGTGGCGTAATATCGTAGCAATTCTTCGTCTTGTAGTCCAGCGGTTTTCTAATCCAAAGTTGAGCAACTAGCCACAACATGGAAACAAAACTTACCTGCTTCATCGGCTTGAAATGTTCGATAAAATACTCGCTCAATTTCACGTACAAATCCGCGCCAACGAGATTAGCTCCAGCTGGCGATTAGGGATTAGATAACAATAATACTAATAAAAATGTATAAAATATACTTCTATTGCTGTCTGGCTTGCCATGCATTTTTGTCGATGTACAATAGTTGTACACTGTCGTGTAAAGATTTGTATAACTGGGAAAGTTAAGCCAGAATCGAGCTTGTTCATTATATGGTCGACACCCTGGTTTAAAAACGTCCATGTCTCTTCGAGATCGGCGGTACGAGTGGGCGCTTTGGCAAACGCGTCGTCTGAGGATGAGGATGAAGCCATGGTACAAAGGTGTGGTGGAAGGTCGAAAAGAGCGGGAATCACGTTGCGGTCCCGACACAGCTTGTCAGTGCAAGCGTCTAAGGGGGCGCTAATCTTTTGACTCTGACCGAGACTCTGACCATCGATCTCCATCTTTTGTTTGGAATTGTAAAGCCAGAATCTGGATTCAAAATATCTTGCGCGGGGAACTCGCTGCTAGAATGATGCTGACCGTGTGCTACTGTATCTAGGTCTCGCAAAATGTTCGATATTTTTATCACTGGGCTCAAGGAAGTTGGACGGCTCACCCGGCTACACACCGCTGTCAATAGGGCCCTCCTTCCTTCAAATGCTTCAACCGAAGTTACAGTACTTACGACGCGACGAAGTACCTTGAACTTTGGGTCAAGTATTCGAATGCTTACACTAGACTTTATATACCATCACATTTACCTATCTTTGCAGATACTTCAAGAATCGTTACAACAGTTTTTTCAAAATCCTTATTCGCCGCACATCTGCCTCTATGAGCCAGATCTGCTGGGGACTCCATGTTTGAACGAAGTAAAAGTATAGTCTCTTGTCAACGTACTTGAATGGACATTGATAATCGTACGTGCTGCTCGTAGCACAGTCAAGCTAAGTTTCATGATCACGTCCCAGCTGTGATAATGCTGGCCTGGCTCAAACTTCGCTTGTATGCCCTTAAGCTATCTGCCCTACAGGCCTTATACGCGGGTGTTTTGAAAATGCGTTCTGCGTAATTTTTCTTTTTGTTCTTTCAACTCACAAAATGTCCTATAGCTATACTTTGCACCATAATTGCGTATTGAGGCCTATATTTGGACATGAGGACCAGATATTGAGTTGGCATGGCCATCGCTCTGCTCAGGCAAGTGAAAAGCTTCGCTGACAAGCACAAATTTGTTTCGGGGACATCAGTAGGACCCTATCTTGTGATTTACCGAGGAGAATTGAACATAGTATGGCTAGCCTTCATGTGTTTGCACGTTAATTGAAGACGTTCATTCCAGATATTGAGTGTTGCATGCACGACCAGCGAGGATGTGACACGTACACGATGCTTGAGATACCTTCACTCCCAATGCTTGAATCCTCTATAAATTCTTGCTTGTTACCAGCCTCGCTCGAACATTCAACAATGTACCTCCTTATACTGCTCCTTAGGCCTAAAGCAGTCCCCTCTAGAGGATGTCGGAATAAATTCGAGAATCCTTGTAGAGGGGCCTGGAAAATGGAAGCAAAAGTTCGCGGAGAGTTTTCAATGCCTTATTATAGTTAATCGGTCATTTGATTAGCCTTTTATATTTTGTTAAAACCTTCCTAATCGGTGCTATGGTGGGAGATAAGGGGGCATCGCCACGGCCCACGTCGGAGCTTCTACATTCCGCGCACCGCAGCTCCGATTAGGAAGGCTTTAAAAATCTATACTGGGGGCGCTTAAACTTCCCGCCAAGTTTTGCTTCCGTTTTACCAAGCCCTCTACGGCTACGGATCCTCTAGAGGGCGGGTCACCAAGCTAACTGCTCCTATCCCTTACTCAGACTGGGCTATCTCTTCCTACTACTCTGGACATTGTCGGTGCTTCTGATAACCAGACTGGCTCGGATGTCTCTATCCCATTAAACCTCTGTACTAGGAAAGGCCCTAAAATTAGTTCCCAGCTAGGGCCCCATCGTCTCGATCATCTTCATCGCCGGTTCGCCGTTCCCGCCGATTAAGTCCGGAGGAGAGAAAAGCAAGCAAAGGCCCGCACCACGCAGTGGGCTGATCATCGAGACATATGAATAAACTGATACAACAATTCGAATGACTTCCCTGCGTGAAAACGTACAATTTTGTGTATTTCTGATCCTCTTCCCGCCGGGATTGACAAGATGGATAACACACACTCTATTTCAAATAACCTCAGATGCAACACACCTTCGAAATGCAACACATTAGGATACCAGGTGTGCTGCATCTGAGGGCACAT